CGATCTTTGTCACTTCCTCTTTATAAAATTTAGGTTTAATATTAGTTGTTCTTTGTTCGTTGTTTTATTTTATATTATTACTGGTTTTTATTCTAATCGATTCTGATTTTTTTTCGGGTTTGTTTTTGTAGTTTTTTTCAGGTACTTTTGGTTTGTGTTCTGCATACAGATTTGATTCTTCAACAAGGTTATACAAATATTAGGTTTAAAGTTTTGTTCATCAATTCGTATCGTTTTATATATGTGTTGCAAGATCTCTCATTACGTTCTTTTTCTCTTTAAATCAACTTATTTTTAATGTGGATTCCGTTCTCGATAGAATCATATAAGCTTTAACAATTTGTTTTTCTTCTCTTTATTGAAAGTATTGATCTTATGTTTTTTTTATTCACACAAGAAAACCAACGGCTGTTTATCAACAAATTCCTCTTCTAGTGGCATCGTAACCAAGATCTGTGCGTTTGTTTTTGTTGATAATTCCAGTTATCGACTTATGATCTTGAAAATCAATTTCGATTTATTCAGTTTTTGGTTAAATGAAATCCATCGTTTTTTGGAGGTTTTGGTGTTGTGTGTTAGGATTTTTGACCAAATCTCATAAATTGAATCTAACATCTATTTTCTCATTTATAACGTTGTCGTATTGAATTTAGGTTTTTGGAATAGCTACACTTTTGATGAGTATCATATGTTTTTTTTTTAGAAAGTAGCATTGTGCTACGCGTATTGCATGGAGACAAGTCCTAGCCGGAGAGTTATATTGACTTAATTAGTTATGGAGATTCTTCTTTGATTTTTGGCTAATTGTGCATCGTATATTTTCAGAATATTTGGCGAAGACGATGAGTCTTCACCGATCGATTGCAAATTTGTCGATGTTACATGGGTGGAAATAGCCGTGGATTTGGATTCGATTGCCGCACCACCATTCATTTCACTCTCTCCCTCACCGTTCTTTCGTCTCTTTTCTCCAAACCTTCGGTGGAGGAGAAAAGACGACGTTGACTGGGCATAGACGCGGAGACGGTGCATTCGATGTTGGAGGTGAGCTCCGACAACACGACGGTGGTGAATGGTGATGGTAGAGTTGTATGTTCCATCACCAGATGAAGAGGAGCCAACATCGCACGTGCCATGAGAGCCACAAAAGTATAGATGAGAGAGTCGGCATGAAGAGGATAGTGGAGAAGAGATCTCCATCGATGGGAACAGCGGTGGAGGCAGGGCCGTGTCCTCCAATGTAGCAGCAACAGCTACATACCAAACCAGAGGCAGGATACCTCAGTTCGAAGGTGGTGTTTTTGGAGCTTCACCAACGGGGCATGTATCGCCGTTTGAGCTCACCATAGGGACCAATGTGACCATGCATGAAAATTAAATGCTAGATATGGTGGGGACGTCGTCTGGAGGTTTTGCTTCCTGGACAAGAAACTACTGAAAACTACAATATGAAACCTGGACAAGACCCAAAACTGCAGAGGGACCAGTGACAAAATCATTGTCGAATGTGCGATTCGAATGATTTATTGATTTTTATAGTTTTTTATTTGTTTTCAGGCAGATTTCTATCGTTCTTTATTTTGGCTTTAGTCAGTTCAATTCTCTAACTAATATTTTTTGGGATACATGGATATATCACAAGGGTGTTTGCTATTCCAGGTACGAAGACTACCTTCCATGACAAAGCCTTATGGTAGAAGAAGATGAGGCAGTGGAAGAACTTTATGAAACTCAATACAGTAAGTTGGCTGTTATGCAATTTAAATCCTCAGAGTCGTGCTAAGAAACGTGGCTGTTAAATACAGTAAGTTGCCGTAAGAAAAAGCCACTGTTTGTTGTCAATCTCGCTTTCAAAACTAATATATCATTTATACAAGCATATATGTAAATAGCAACATATTCTTTATTAAAAGTTATAATGCAGGTTATCATCTAAAATTTGTTTTTTCTTCGTCGTATATTCAAATTTAGTTTATTTTTGGATTTTTATTAATAATCTACTCATTTTTTAATATATTATGTCGTTTGTTTTTTTGTTGATGATTACAGTTCGAGTTTATGGTCTCAAAATCATAATGTATGTTCTTCTCTTTTTTTGTTTACGCTTATATACATCTATAATTATAAAATTTTTTTAATAGATGATGATCTTTAAAAAAATAAAGGATATTGTTCATTTGAAAGATTTAAAATCAAAATATTAAAATCAAGAAAAAATATCTTGTACAAAACCCAATATTAATAGAATATAGAAACCCAAATTAAAAAATCAAACCATAACTATCTTATAGAAAGAACATGTCAAAGAAATTAAGAATATTCCAAACCATTACATTCTAAGATACGGCGAACAACAACAACAATTTTTTTCATCGACTCTCATCAAGAAAGGTTTATCGAAGGATATTCGTAGGTCTTTTTGCATCATGTTTGAGCCTCTTCGTAGGATATTCCGAGCAATGGAGGTGGAGGAGGTTCATCGACGATGAAAAGTTTGAGAAGTGGGATTGTTAAGTTTTTGTTGAGTTTGGTTTCTAAGGAGTCTATGAGAGTAGGATTGGCATGCAATGAGTCAAACTTAAGTCAACGACGTGTACGGAGGAAAAAATCTTCGACAACGTCGAGGAACARTAGATTTGCATCCATGAATCATAAGCAGCAAGCTCAATGATCAAGAACTGGTGAATCCATTTTGTATAGAAGACGTAAGCAATGATGATTGTAGAAGATCAAAATGCATGACTTTTCATGGAGGCGTGTCTTTGGGTGGCTTTACCATGTGGAGAAACGAGGTTGTTGAGCACGCAAATGATCTGTAGAGCGAACATGGCGTCACTTAAGTCGATGGCATTTGCGCAATGAAGAAGAAGCTGCTCCATGTTGTTAGCATCGTACTGCTCCATGCCGTTAGCATCGTACACCGTGGATCATGTACATATGTCAATAGAGAAAATTATTAGACATTAAACTGCTTTTAACTACACAAATGTTATAAATTAGTTGTTCTATCATCTTTTGTTCTTTAAAATTTTCTTTTGATCTCTGAATCGTCTAAGATGTTTTGTTCCCTAAATTATTTTCTTTTTCCAAAAAATAATCCCAAAAAGTCAAACATCGGGTGTAAATCTATTTATATCGCGTGCATATAGGATTAAACATTTTAGTGGGATTTTTGTTCAACAACATTTTTGTGCTTCTATTTWATTAATTTATTAATTTTCATAAATCCTTTCGTTTTTTTATGTTTAAATATTATTGATTTATTTTATATTATAAGTATGTAAAAAATTGAAATTACTAAGAGGTATTTGGCTCAATAAATAAATGTTTGTTGGGTTAGACGAGAGAGAAAGGATCTAAAATAGCAATACCTCTCACAAGTGGATTTTTGGTTCCGTTTACTTTTCTTCATATCATAAGTTTAATGGTGATAATATTTCTCCTAAAAAAATGACTCATTTTATATGGTTCAATAGGATTTTATATGTTTTAGATGGTGATATTTTAAGTTATATAAAAAGA